TGAATAAAATCTTTATCTCAGACACCCTTTGCGGGGAAATAAACCATTGATATTGTGTGGTCATGACATAAGCTGACCAAGGGGCACTGACAGCATTTCATAAACTTTAAGCAGGGTCCTAGGTCAGTAATTTTTGTGTTTGCATGTCTTTTTAGTCTGTTTCCCCCCCAGAGCACTATAGAGCCCAATGAGAAAGGCATCGACGCCACAGTGAAACTGAGAACTTTCACGTGACGTGGGGAGCCGCAAGGCATCCTCCAAGGATATTTGAATGCTTGAAACATCAGTGACCCTTCATAAGATAGAAAAGAGATGGATATGAAAAATATTGACGGGCTGGCTGTTTGAGGGGAGTGTAAAAAGCAGCTCAGACAGCCCACTCTCATTGCCAAAGACCTTAGTCTAAACCCTAACCAAGCTGAGCCTGGAAAGGATAGACGATGCTTAATTCTTCTGGGAAAAGCTTCTAGTTCGCTTTTTCTTCTTTGAATTTTCTTGCTTTTTATCATCTGATAATCTAAGAGATAATTGCAAAGCCCCAACACCAAAGTAGCCCATATCCTAAGCAGTGATCTGCTACCTTTGCCAGCATCATTTCTGTACAAGGCTTGGCCAAGGTCTTTGACATCATGCAAAAGACAGTGTTTAATGTAGCTCAAAAGTCGCCTAAGGAAGCATCTTCCTTTAAATATGCTTTGTGAAAGAAAAAAAGGCGAGCATTTTTTTTTGTTCTTTGCGAAAACCCAAAGGCAAGATGACTATTACAGTGGTCAGATGACAAATGTCTCATCTGATCTTTAATCCAGTGGAAGGGCCAGCTCCAGGGCTAAAACAGGAAACTCTCACAGGATAGAGCGATTTGGTAAATTCCACTGTGCTAAATCACTTCTGTGGGTGCAGTAGATTTCTCCACACCAATGAGTAGCATTTTAGTTTCTCTCTCTCTGAATGTCTTAGTAGTAGAAAGCCATTAAAAGTGCACCGACAGAGAAGATATGTAGTGAACGGCCTTGGCCAATATTTATGTATCTGAGACTAGGATAAATTATCGAGAGAGATATACTTTTTATCTCTGCTTCCAAGAAGGCAAACAAGTAAAATAGAGAAATAAAGGTCAAGTAAAATGACCATTATCTGTTATCAAAAAAGCAAATAACACATTTTCTGTCAAATTGAAATGATTTTTTTTCTGTGTAAATTGGGATCATGCCTTTGTGGATATAAATTGTCTGTGATTTGCTTTTACATTTGTGGCTCTCGTCTGTAATTTGACACAATTCCTGCGTAGGTGGTTGTGGGGACCACTCTGGGATATAATTTGCAAACTATGCTTTTCTAATTCGTGTAAGACTCAAGACTTATCATACATGTGAGAGAAGTGGCTTCTTTTTTGTGTGAGCTCCACGTTGACTCAGCTGGTTAGAGTCCTTCTCCTTTTGGCACTTACTCTGTTCTGTGTCACAGTCACTTTCTTTGAGTTGCTTTCATGCAAATTCTCTGCCTGAATGTGTCCAAATTAACAAAAAAATATTGCCAAAAAAGTGTGGTTTAAAGTGAAATAAACATTAGCAAAACATGGAACATTATATATTTTTCTATCGTAGCACAATTGACATAGTCACATTAAGTGTGATGACAAAAGAGCTCTTTCTGTTCTTCTATTTTCAGTCAGACCAACCACAACTGAACACCATTGCTATTATCTCTCTAGTTTAGCTACTTTTATAAAATGCAAACACTGCAGCCGGAAATCAAAATCTTTACGTTTTGCCAAAAGCTGTCAAAAGTAATCCACCTCTCATCAGCTGAGATTCAAAGCAGGGTATACTGGCAGGAATCCCTCATCACACAGACTGACACGAACATTTGGCAGGGATTTGCTGATCATCCGGTTCATGACACATTCCTTGATAGTCAACTTCACAGAGCCAGCCGGTGTTCATCTCAATCACCTGATGACGCTGGCACATTTAAGCCTGTTGTCTTTGACGATAATCGAATGTGGCAACACAGAAGTGAGTAATAATTGTGTCAACAAGGTATGTCAGTTTCCACTAACTCTCATCTGAATCATCCCTGTGCAGCGTAGCCAAATGTGATAGTATGACGCCTGAGATATTTGGCTGTGATAGGCAGCGACAGCAAACATAGTATGAGATACTGTTTTAAACCTTTGTGTGACCTCTAAAACGTTCAGGCCACGGAGAAGCATGCCACTGCCTACATACCTGTATGGTTCAGCTCTCACTTCATTTTCTTGATTGTTTTTGAGGCTTTTGGTTCACTTTATTTTATTCATCTAATATCTTATATTATAATTTCATATTTATTGTGATTATTATTATTTAATACAAGACTTTTTCAGAATGGGCCACTCAAGTCCACAGCTATGAATTCAATCAGTATGTAAAGGTTTTGGAAGAATCGTTCTGACTCAGAAAAAAGCAGTGAGTCACACAAGAAAAACCTCCTCCTCTAAAGAAGACTTCTAGATTTATTTTTCTTTCAAATAAACCATATTGTACAACTACTGGTATTTCGCTTTCAAATAAACCCTGTCCTTCAGGCTATAACTCTTATTGTGGTTTAACGGTGTAAAACAGACAGCTGGAAGCAGTGCTTGGGCCAAGTCTCTCTTTTTTTCCCAGAGAAACAATACACATTTAAACTGTATGGTTTAGAAAAATATACTGACAAAATTTCCACTGAAAACTAATGGCTAAGAAACATTTGTTTGGTGGTATTGGAAAACACAGCCTTAGGGTCGGGATAAACACACAGTGGTCCTTGTGTTGAAATGTAAGAGCATGTTGTTTTAGAATATGTTTGCTTTGGTTTTAGTCGAA